CGCGCAGGCCGGGAGCTCACGCGCACGCCGCCGGGTGATCGCAGACAGGCAGGTAGGCAGGCAGCTGAAAAAAAAAACCCCTCTGGGGTCTTTGGGGCCTTCCTGTTCTGTTGTCGCGCAGGCCGGGAGCTCGCGCGCACGCCGCCGGTGATCGCAGGCCTTTTTTTTCTTTTTGATACCAGGAATCGAACTCGGGTCGTTGTGAAGCAAGCAGGGGAACCACTAAGCTAAATCCCGGCCCCCACGTTAACATCATCTTGATGGGACAAGCAGACATCGTGTGCCACCCCAGAGGACACAGGAAGAGGCGACATCACTTCTAGGGTAAACCTGCTGGAAGAGGTGAATCCGCATCTAACCTTGGGCGGTCCAGACCGATCCCAGTGAAGACAGCATAAGAACCAACTGCCCTGCTGTCTTCATAAAGTCAAGGTACGAGACTCAAGGAGAGACTGAGGAGCTGCTCCGAGTCGAGAGCAACAGGATGGCCGCCAGTGCCCATGATCCCAAATTAGGTCTTTCTGTTACAAAGACCAGTCACCTGCTGAAATCCAACGGGGCCCCTGGCTGGGTAAAGGGTGTACATGGAGTCTGGGGCTTTTCTGTGAACTTGAAAATGTTTCAAAGTGACATTATTTTTTAAAAGAAGCAGGGGACAGGGAAGACAAAAACAAGTAAATGAATGGATGAAACAGGGATTCCTTCTGTCCATTTTATAAGACAGGGTCTCGCTATGTAGTTCAGGCTGCCCTTGAACTTACCGTGTACCCCAGGATGGCTTCAAAGTCATGGTGACCCTCCTGCTTCTGCCTCCCAAGTTGTGAGATTATAGGTGTGCACCACACACGCGGCTTTTACTCTCTACCCCACTTACCAGCCAGGTACAGAGGACCTAGTAGAGGACTCCAGCACCCCAGACCAATGCCACAAGCGGGAAGGCACCTGGGTCCCTCCACCACTACGGTAGAAAAGCCAGCTCTCCTTTACTGGTTAGATATTTTCCAGTTTTCTCTCTGCTTAGCCCTCAAGAAGCAAGTAGTGCCATACTCCCTTCCCCCACTTCCGTCACTCTCGGCCTGGAACACCCCCCCCATTCCCAGTCTCCGCAGTGCACCCTGAACACCCCTTTCAGTTTAGCTCTTGAGTCGCCTTGATTAATTCATACTTGGTCACCTTCTCTGGGCCCGTGGACATTTTCTTCCAAGGAAAAAGCTGCCCAGCCCATGGCACCAGTGAGTGGACATACCAGATTCCCGGAACATCCTGTGCGTACCTTGATATCACACATGCTGGAATAAACCCCCTCCACACTCCCAGACCTCGAATCCAGTGTTCTGCTAGCCCTACCTGTAGGACTTCTCTCACACTAATCTGGTCCTCTGTGCCTGCACCTCATCTGCAAAGGGAAGGACAAGCACGCTTTGTGGTGCCCTGCGGCCACGGAGTTGGCATTCAACAACTAGGTGTGAGACGCAGCACTCCCAGGGCCAGCCTGGCAGGAGAGCATCCCGGGAGACAAAACTCTGCCCAAAAGCAGCCCAGGCATGGTGCATTTTCTTTCCCTACTAAACTCAGGAAATAAAAACAAAACAAAAAACTCGACCTAGCAAAGAATAGAGGTTGTACAATAGCTCATGTTTATTTGTTTTTTGTTTTTTTTGAGACAGGGTCTCACTATGTAGTTGAGACTGACCTGGAACTAGCTATGTAGCCCAGGCTGGTCTCGAACTCACAGGATCCTCCGGCTCAGCCTCCCAAAATAGCTTATGTTTCTTTTCAAGCTGTAACCACACATTCTAACCCCTCTATCCCTGAGACGTAGGCCTGGGGCTGGCCAATGAAGGCATGGTGTCAGAGTGAAGGCCTAGTGCCCCAGCTCTTGGGAACCAGCCTGCCTGGGGCGTGTGGCAGAGCAGGGGCCTGCACTGAGGTACCCTGCACAAAACCCCAGGCTGCCAGCCCATGTGACAGAGGCAGACATGGCCAGTGGCCACTGGGGGAACAGAGCAGCATCTGCCGACCAGAACCAGTGCTCTGTGCCACTGCACTTGGGTCCCCAGAAGGAAAATAACATGGCTGAGTCTAGTACCAGGGACAGAGAGAAGTACTGGCTCAAAGAAGCACGCCAAATTGGGTTGCCAAGTTGAGGACCCCTGGGGCTGGAGAGACGTCTGTCCTGGGGCCCAGAGCCCACACTGTGGGCAGTAGGTGCAAACAAGGAGGCCCTGCTGGGACGTGATGGTCAGGAGCAGGCCGTGGATCCTAAGGCCGCCACCACTTCATCACTTCCTATTGTATGAAGTGGTCCCTCTTGTCCCCAAAGGGTGACACAGCCTCAGAGCTTGCTCCTTGGGATCACGGGAAGGGGCCGCTGCAGCCGCCACACCACCCTGACCGGCTCGGCAGCACGGTCCAGCTCTCGGAGGCCACCCAGGTCACCAGTCTGGCGATACTGCTGCAGGGCCGGCTGGAGCACCGTGATGGGGATGCTGAAGTTCAGGTGCGGGTAAGTGGCCCCTGTGTTATTGTCCCGTGTGTTGCTGGCGACAATGCCTGTTGGGGGAGGGTCAGAAAGCAGAGGAGGACATGAGCCACGGGAAAGACAGCTGTCACAGGGAGGACTCTCTCCACTCTGCACCCCTGGGGCCTGCTGGGAGCTCAAAGCTCCCCCAGTGACAGGCACTGAGGCTCCTGTCACGGCACCTGCTCCCCATGCTGTCCATCTTCAGCTCTACTCTTCCTAACACTATGTGCATCTCACACACTCTGGATTTCCGTATTTGGTCAACTTGTTTTATTCATGCAGTTTCTCTGGTACCAAGAACAGTGCCCACCAGAGTAGGCACAGCAAACACCTTAATGAACAAATGAATGAGTCCGACCTACTGATGCCTTGTTTGACCTGATCACTTTTTTTTTTTTCAGTACTGGGGATCAAACTCAGGGCCTTGGACCTGAGATACATCCCCAGCCTTTTTCTATTTTTTTGAGACAGGGCCTCGAAGTTGCCCAGACTAGGCTCAAACTTATCTTCCCACCTCAGCCACCCAGAGTACTAGGATTATAAGACTGCACCCCACATCTGGCTAGTGTATTTTTAAAATTTTATACCTACAGAAGCCTTGCCTCAAAAGGAGGGTTCCTATGTTCCTTTCAGCAAACCTTCCCCATGTTGGTATCTTGTGTCCTAAAACATTTTTCAAAATCAAGAAATTCACTATGGAACAATACGACCGATCAAAGTGTACAAGCCATTTGGATTTCACTAGTTTTTCCTAACTAACTGGATAAGGTCTTTATTCTCTTCCAGGATTCAATCCGGGAATCACACTGCATTAACTGTCATGTCTTCGCAAATCTCCTGTGACCAGAGTTAGTTCCTAAGCCTTTCCTATTTTTGCGGCCTTGACACTTTGAAGAGCACAGGTCCACTGTTTTTGTTGGACAGTTCTCAGTTATCGCATGTTTTCCATGACTGGGCTGAGTTCTGCATGATTGGGAAGAATCCCGTAAGAGCAATGAGTCCTTCCCCGTGCATCATATCAGGCTGCGTCCGATGTCTATACACAAGTATTTGTCGTTTTGCAGGACTGGGTATCATGAATCCAGGACCTTGTGCAGGGTAGGCAAGTGCTTTACTATTGAGCCACATCCCCAGACCTTATATGTGGTTCTTGTGATGTTAAGCTGCATCACCTGGCAAAGATGGCATCTGCCAGGCCTCTCCCATGCAAACTTTGTATTTTTCCTTTGTAAGTACTAAATATTTGGGGGGATAGACTCTTTTTTGCTTTTGACGTAGGGTCTTAGTATGCAGTTGAGGGTAGGTTTGAACTCCTATGTAGCCCGGGCTGGTCTCAAACTCACAGCAATCCTCCTGCCTGAGCCTCCTGAGTGCTGGGATTAGAGGCGTGTGCCACCACACCTGGCTTTTAGGGGAGATATTCTGAGGTTATATAAATACTGTTTCTATTAAAATTTTGCACAGGCATGAAGTACCCATCCACTTAGATCCTGTTTGTAGCAATTACTACAAACAAAATGTCTTCTTTTCTCTTCCCCTTAGTACAACAAGCTACATTCCCAGCTCCCTTTTTTATTCCCAAGACAGGGTCAAGCCCAAGGTGGGCTTGAACTTGTGATCCTCCTGCCTCAGCTTCCCAGAGTGCTGGGTTTACAGGTGTTCACCACCATGCCAGATTTACTGTAGTGACTTAATAGTGATTATCTATTTCCTCAACATGTACTAATGAGATTTCTGTAAGGAGTTGTAGTTTTTCTGTATTTCTAAACTTATTCAGTCACTTATATCAGGCCAGATTCATGGATAATCCTTCTTTTCTTTGGATTAGCATGGATCACTGTTGCTATTTGTTTTGTACTTCAACCTGTTCCAGGGGGGCCTCCTAGGGGTTGGCTGCTGATCTTTTCAACTTAACAAGTCCCCATCATTTGGGTTGTTAGCACTTCCTCTCTAGGACATAACACATCCACAGATGAATAAAGAAAATGTAGTATTTACACACAATGGCGTACTACTCTGCTACAAAGACAGACAAATGAGTCATTTGTAGGAAAATAGATGCATCTTGAGACCATAATGTTAAGTAAAATAAATCAGACACACAAGCTTAAATGTCACATGGCTTCTCTTATATGAGAGTAAGTATAAGAACAAAATAAAAGATAGATCATAGAAAGTATGGAGATCAACCTTTCTCAAATAGGAAGCAGACCTATTTGAGAAAGAGATGAAGGAGGGAGAGAGGGAAGGGATAGGGAAAGGAAAAAAGGAATGAAGATGTGTTATATACATGTACCAACTTCACTCAAGGAATGTAAACCACATACTACAAATGTGCACTAATAAAAAAAGAAAAATATTGGCAGCTTGGGCCCCGATCCACCGCGGGAAGGAGAACCACGCCAGCTCCCGACCCAGCCACCATCACTCAAGTGCAGGGAGGCAGCCGCGTGGTCGCTCCTGAACCCCCATAAGTCCCCCCCCCCGCACTCTCAGTCCTCCTGACTGTGCCAGTCTTTGGACCCACTCTGCAGAGGCAGAGGTGGCCATCAAGGGTATTTTTCTGAGTTCCCAACTTTGAACATCTTTAAAGAAAGGGCGTGGGAAACCTATAATAGAAAGTTGTGGAGTTCAACCATTCAGAAGGTTGGGGAACTCAATCTGGGCCTTGCAGCCTGAGGTCAGTCAGCATCATGGGGTTCAGCCATCAGCTAACTGAGATCAGGGGTCTTGTATCGTCGCTCTGAGCCATTAAATGGTAAATACACTATATTGAAATTTTGTTCACTGCAGACATGTTCTGGACTGCTTCTTGATTTCAATTTAATTCAAATGATTTAAGGGTGATAGACTAGTGACTACCACCGGTGGTCATTGTCCAAGTTGTGCTTGATCTTAATATGTTGCTGATTGTATCAGTTGGGGTAAAGCATTAGGGTTGATTTGATGAGCTGTTTTCTCTGATGTTATGAAGATGAGAATGTCTGTGGGTCGTTAGAGACACAGAAGCTAGGGCGCAACTATATCAGGAAGATTTGGGTGATAATCCAGAGATTAAACCAAGGACAGTCCGACAACAAAAATAAAAATGAGAAAACACTTAAGGA